CCAAAGGCAGCTACTCAGCTGCTTGTGGTTGATCCCACCATGGAGTTGATTGCCAGTCTCATCATGGGGAATAACTACCACCAGCTGCCCAGCCACTGAACCAGGCCCAGCCAAGTTGACACATGAACATAACTACCACCAATGTCCATATAAATATTTGCTGGTCTGAGAGAGCCTGGTGAAACCACTGAGTCTACTGCCCCTGGCTGCCCTTCAGGTCTGGAATAGAACCCACACCTGTGGCTTCCAGCCAAACGAAAACAGGCATATGAGTTGAACATTTACCTGAGGTAGATACACTCCTTGGAGAGAACAGTCATGGTAGAAAGAAGGGCTGCTTATGCACAGGAAGACAGCTCAGGGGGCAGGAGTGCATGGAGGGCTGGGCACAGGGAAGAGGTGACTGTCGGGAGGAAGTGAGAGGGGAACTGTTGCATTGTGGTAAATTGTAGTCAATGTCATGAGACAATGTGTATGTGAACTGCTATATGGAAAGTGAATTTGCTCTGTAAATTTTCACCCAAATCACACACACACACACACACACACACACAAAGTCCATATAAATAGAACAGTGGGCAAAGTTATGATAGCTTCTTAGCCACAGTTAACCACCCTAAGTGAGTGAGTAGTTGGACATATGAGCTCGGGACCATGGGTGCAAAGGACATCAAGCTCAACTGGCGTAACACACTACATGAAAACATTGTTCTACATCCTACTTTGTTGAGTAGTGACTGGGATCTTAAAAGCTTGCAGGCAACCATCTAGATGCAACAATGAATCTGTCCTTGTCCAAAGCAAAAAAGAATGAAGAAAACCAAAGATGCATGGAATCAATTAGTCCAAGGAACTAGTGGAACATGTGAACCTTAGCCTATAGACCATGAGATCAGAAGAGCTAGCTGGTGTTCAGCTATCCTGTCAACCACTCAGAAAGGGGTCAGAGCAGGAGGTCCTGGATAGAGGGGAGAAAAACATGGAACAAAACTCAAGATCACAAAAAAGACCAGGCTTATTGGTCTGATGTTGTTGTTGTTGTTGTTATGTGCCATCTAGTCGGACCCGACTCATAGCGACCCCTCCTTGGGTTTCTGAGGCAGTATCACCACGGCAGTAGATTGCCCCATCTTCCTTCCGAGGAGTGGCTGGTGGGTTTGAACCGCCAGCCTTCTGGTTAGCAGTCAAGTGCCTTAGCCACTATGCTACC